CTCGGCCTCCTGCCCCCACCGCCTGAGATTCTGGGCTGGCCTCCCGACGGCGCTGGCCTCCACCCCACTCCGGCTTAACTGAACTCCCGGGGCGAGCCATCTCCTACCCCAGCTCCCACCCACCCCTCCGCGCGGCTCTCCCGCTGCCTGCTGACCTCAGTGCAGACCTGAGGCCCAGGGCCCTGGCACCTGCCCCCGGCCCGCTCAGGGTGCCTTCTTGTTCCCTCTGTCCGCCCAGTTCTGCTTGGGTTTGGCCTCCTCCATCCCCATCTCATTTCCTTTCTCAATCCCTCTCCCCACCTGCCTCCTTCTAGCCGTGTGCCCCCTCCCTCCCCTTCCCTGCTTCTCCGGCTCCCCCTCCGGCTCTCCCTAGTTCTCATGTCTCCATCACCCCTGTTCCCGCCTCATACGCCCTCATCCTGCCTCTTGCCTTCTCTCTCTGCCCCTCAGGCCTCCTGCCAGAAGAGATCCTGACCCCCACCCTCTACCACGGCTACTATGTCCGGCCCCGGGCCACCAGAGCTGGGGAGGGCAGCCGGGCAGGGGCCTCTGAGCTCAGGCTCAGTGAGGGCAAGTTCCAGGTGTTCCTGGATGTGAGCCATTTCACCCCAGATGAGGTGACCGTGAGGACTGTGGACAACCTGCTGGAGGTGTCTGCCCGGCACCCCCAGCGCCTGGACCGCCATGGCTTCGTGTCTCGGGAGTTCTGCCGCACCTATGTCCTGCCTGCCGATGTTGACCCCTGGCGGGTCCGCGCTGCTCTCACCCATGACGGCATCCTCAATCTGGAGGCGCCTCGGGGTGGCCGCCATTTGGACACAGAAGTCAATGAAGTCTACATCTCCCTCCTCCCTCCACCTCCTGATCCGGAGGAAGAAGAGGAGGCAGCCGGAGTTGAGCCCTGAGTGCCTCAGATCCAGTACCCAGCCCTTTCTACCTCCCGTGGTGATGCAGCAGCTGCCTCCACCCCAGAGACAGCAGCAGCCTTGGGAGAAGGGAAAAGTGCATGGGCCACAAAGTATGGTTTGGTCCTGTGGGACGTGTCCTAGCCTTTGGTTTAGTTCTAGATAGAAGTGAATAAACCCAAATCTCTGGGCCTTGTTTGTGCTGCTTCCTATTCTCTGGCCTGGAGGACGGGGTGGGAAGGGAGGAGGAGGGCATAGCTAGAAACATGGTCCTCAGTTCGATGTGCTCAACATTACAGAACCCCGAGCTCGGATGCTGAGATCACACCCAAAGCTGACACTGGCTCCAGATCAAATTCCCAGCCATAACTTTCTCACAATGCAACAAAGGAGAGTGATCCCGGGAGGGAAAAGGGATATGCCATCCAGACAACCACAGGGCACTGTCTGAGCTGGTGATTAGAGACACAAAAACGAGGGTCTCCAGACTGTCTGGCCTGTTTAGGGTAGGGATTGGGAAAACAGGATTTGGCTGGAGAGCGTTGCCTAAAGCCCTGTTTTCCCAAACTAAGATCTGTCCATTGATAATGGCCTCTGTCTGCGGAACCAAGTATGTATACGCAGGGGCACAGACACAGAAACCTCTGCTATTGTCACTGAATCTCATAATCTCCCTGCCCTCTGCACAGGGGAGGCCCGTGAGAGGAAGCATTTGCCTCATATCTTGGAACATCGCAGAGGAATCACTGCAGCACCCCCACATAATCCAAGACTAAATGCAGGGGGTCTAGGGCTACTAGTGTGAGCTTGATGGCCAGGGAGGTGTCCTCTGGAAGTAGAGGGTTATTAGAAATACTAGAGGCTCGGTGCACGAAATTTGTGCACAGGTAGGGTCCCTAGGCCTGGCCAGTGATCAGGGCTGATCAGGGCCTTCCTTCGTTTCTGTGCCACCCCCTGGTGGTCAGCACACATCATAGCAAGTGGTCGAACTCCCAGTCAATGGAATTCCTGAGGGGACAATTTGCATATTAGCCTTTTATTATATAGGATGGTGTGTGCAGGAAAGCCTGAGGTCTGACCCCTCACTTACTTCCTGTAATCAAGAAAGTGTGTGTATGATTTGGGGAGTGTCCAGAAGATCTCCCTGCTCCAAAATAATCTTTTATGAGGCTGTGATAGACACCTGAAATTCTTCATTAAAGTGGTTGATTCTTAATTTTGTTGAATTAGAGACCAATTTGAAAATATGACAAAAGCAAGCTATAGATGCTCTTACCATAAAAAATACAAATGCCCCCAAATTTGGCATAAAATTTGAATAGAGCTCTTGGAGTCCATTCATATGCCCCTTGTAGAGAACTGTGGATCCTCGGGATAAGAACCCTCACTTGAAGAATCCAATTTTTGGTTGAAGAATTGCCATCAATTTAAAATGAAAGCATACTTCAGAGAAATAACTACTGGCATATTCATTTGTTCATTCATTCAACAAATATTTATCAACCCCCAAGTGATATACTATGGGGGACACACATGGTAAATATAAATTATAAAAACCATAGCCTTTTATTATCTACTCGGGACTCTCAGTCCCTAATTGAAAAGAAAAAGAAGTTTAAAAGATCCTACTCAGACTTCAACCAAAGCAGCTTCACATTGAACTGTTTTGTAACTGGGATTTTTATTTATTTATTTACTAGAGGCCCAGTGCACAAAATTTGTGCACTCAGGGGGCGGGGGGAGGAGGGTCCCCCAGCCCGGCCTGTGCCCTCTCGCAGTCTGGGACCCCTCGGGAGATAACGACCTGCTGGCTTAGGCCTGCTCCCGGGTGGCAGAGGGCAGGCCCAATCCCTAAGTGCAGCCCCTGGTCAGGCTCAGAGCAGGGCCGATTGGGGAGTTGGGGCGCCGCCCCGTCATGCACAGAGCAGGGCGGATAAGGAGGTTGTGATGCCACCCTCAGTCACGCTCAGGGTAGGGCCGATTGGGGGATTGGGGCACCGCCCCCTGTCACTCACAGAGCAGGGCCCATCAGGGGGATTGGGGCTCCGTACCCTGTCACACACAGAGCAGGGCCCGTGGAGGGGG